GTGTTCGTAAAGTTCTTAAAACATGTATTGAACATTTACTGTGCTCAGCAGGGTTCTGAGGATTTTGTGTGTGTTATATTGTTCAGTTTCCTCAAAACTGTGTGCAGGAGGCTCTATCAGTATCTCATTTTACAAATTAGAAGCTCAAGAGACAGACACAGAGGCCTTGCCCATTGCCTGTGGTTGCACACAGAGGGGGTGGGTCCCAACCCAAGTTCAATGCCAAAGCTCCTGTGCATCACCTCTGCCCCATGCACCTGTCTAACATTTTTTGGAATGCTCCTTGGACCTTAGTTCTGTCTCCTGTTTGGTACAAATCCCTTGAGTGCCATGATCTCTCAGGTTCTTTCTCTCCATGGCACCTAGCACAGGCCCATGCACACAGTGGGCTGTTGGTGGCAGCTCTTCCCTTGAGTGTGCCTTTCTGGGCCCAGCCTGGGCCCTCTCCCATGGATGGATGCGTTGAGCTCTGTTGTCTTCAGTCCGTGAGCGCTCCCCTTGGTGTACAGGCCGCACTCCACTCTGAGCTAATGCGGTTTGCCTGGCACCTGTGGTGCCCTACATCTTCCTTCCCCTCTGCTCCCTGATCTTAGCTCCAAGACAGGCTGCCAGACATTCTCTGCTGCCCACAGCATGTTTTGCTGCCCTCCCTTCCCAGCCGACTCGCTGTGCTTCCCTCACCCTCACACTCGCTTTTGATCTTGCAAATCCAGGCCCTTGGAGAAATCAGACAGTATGAAATATGAAAACTGCTCGGGAAGTAATTGAAGAAACACTGTGACTTTTGAAACCCATAGAGATAACACTTACACCTTCTTACTCATGTTATTTAATTTTTAATGGCAGATTTAATTAATGGAGATCGGATCTCCTGCTTTCAGATGTGCCTACGGAGCAGCTGGAGAGGGGGAGGGGCAGCTGTTCACAGGGCAGAGGAAAGGACTTTTTAGAATTGGGAAGCCGACAAGTCTAATGGGAAAGAAAATCACCCAGAAGTAATAGTTTATGTCAGTGGGTACTAACTAATGTTGTGAGAATTCAGTGCTGTGTCTTCAGAGAGGCTTCCCCACGTCTTATAAATGGGTCACAGGGCCCCTTTATAGGCGCGGTGACTCTCCTCTGGACCCCGTGCTGCGGGGTTCTGGAAACTCCCCAGTACTGACTTCAAGCTACAGAGAACTGGGTTCTATTGTCCACACAGCTGCCAGAACATTACTTTAAAAATACAAATCTACCTGCCACTCCCTTGCTTAAAAAGTAAATCCTTTGTCCCCGCATTGCCTACAAGGTGAGTCTAAGCTTATGAGCATGTGGCTGAGACTTACACCCTCCCTCACAGTAGCCATGAGGTGGCCACAGGCTCCCCCGTGTTGCTGCCCATTGATAAGACCTTCCTCTCATTGGCTTACTTCTGCTCATCCTTTTAAAGTTCATTAAAAAAGGATATACCCTTTGACCCAAGAATTTGACTTCTAGAATGCTCCCTGCAGATACCCTCACTTGCTCACAGAGGGGTAGGTACCAAGATGTTCCTCTCAGCATTGTGTATCACAGCACATGTCAAAGCTGCACACAGTGGCTCATGCCTGCAGTCCTAGCATCCTGGGACTTTGAGGTTGCTGTGAGCTCTGACATCGCCATAGCACTCTAGCCTGGGGCAGCAGAGTGAGCCTCTGTCTCAAAATAACAATAACAGTAACAATAATAATAATAGCAGAAGTTTGGAAACAACCTGCTGTCTATGGACAGGGAGCTGCTTGAGTGAGTCACGGGTATCCATGCTGACCGGCAGGAGCGAGTGGGGTCTCTGAGAACTCCGTGGGAGGAGTGCTGTCTGCTGTGGCGCAGTGAGTGTAGTGTCAGGAGCGAGCAGGTGGCCGCGTGTGCTCACACATGCGTGGCAGCCCTGCAGGATGCTGGGATCCAGACTGGCCAGAGCCTCACCATTTACCATACTTCCTCTGTTCTTTCTGTGTTTGTTCCTTTAACATAGGTAAATATTAATTTTTTGAAAACCATGTTTAATGTAAAAAAAAAAAATGTAGGTCTCAGTTAAGGTATTAGCTCCCAAGAAGCCTGTCTGACCCTGGTTTCCATCAGGGGTCCTCACAGCTCCTGGGATGACTGGCCAAACGTCTTGTTGCTAATCGGACATTGTGTCATCTGAGAGCCTCACGAGGGCAGGGAGCAGCCTGCCTTTGTCTGTTGGGTCCACCTGGTGGTACCAGTCCTAGAAGCCCTTGATGGTGGCTAACAGGAACGTGCACAGTGCCCCATGCTTCCCAGAAGAGGGGTCTGAGTCCCCGCCCACATCTGCCAGATGAGAGGGCTCGTGGTCACAGGAAGCTGCTCAGGATGCCCCCGCTGTGGACAGGAGACCTTCCCTGCCGTGAGAGCCATGGAGGTGATGACGTCCATCCCTGTGGGTCTGCTCAGGCAGATCAGGGCGTCAGGGCAGGGCAGGGTGGGGATTTTTCTGAGTCATCTGAGCAGCGATAGAGGAAGCTGCAGTGGGGCAGTCGCCCCCACTTCTTGGCCTGTGGGTACTTTCTGTGACAAATCTAGTTGACCACGTGCTCCAACCAAGCTCGACTCGAGCCAGACTGTCCCTAGTGATACAGCGTCTGGAGCAAAGGCTCAGAGCCTCCCTCGTCAGCAACAGCGTGCCAGGCCCCCTCTGGGGCACACATACCCCTGGGAGGCAGTGATGTGATGCTGAGGACTCCAGTGGGCACAGCTACGGGAGAGAGAAGTTTGGCCCCCCGAGCCATGACCTTGTTTTCTGGGATAGGAAGTAGACCAGGATCAGTGGGGGCCTTAGGATAAAGCATGTTTTAGCTTCAGAAACTTCAGTGGCCCCGTGGTGACTGAGTGGCTGTCCTGTGGCAGGCTATCAGCCAACCTGCATGGTGGACGGTCCCCTGACTTGTGGGTGATAAACAAGACTCAGAGGAAGTAAGCGACCTACCCAGAGAACACAGCCAGCCTGTGCCAGAGCGTGAGTTAGAACATGGTTCTATGGGCTGTGCCACTGTATGGTGAGGCCTGTGAAGGAAGGTTCAGACGGAGTCTACGTGACCCCCATGGGATGTGGAAGGGGAGGGCCCTCGTTTGATCCCTCTCTGTATTGGTACCTCTTGCTCAGACAGGTACTATTAGTAGGTGTTGGACTGGTTGGGGTGAAATCACGATCTCTGGTTTGAAGGTGAGGGCTCTAGAGAGGAACATGGAGCCAGCACAGGCTATGGGGTGGGGGAAGAACCTTCCTGCCTGTTGTGTGCCTGGAGCATTGGTGTGTCCTCAGCTGGCACTCCTGACACTCAGTGAGGTTCAGAGGAAACTGAACTGAGGAGAGGCGAGGTCACTTGCCAAAGCTTACCTGGCAGCTGGACGGTGAAAGGACCAGAGGTGGTTCCTTGACCTGCCTCACTCCCCCATGCCCAGCTGAAAGCAGAATTCCAGCACTTGGTGGTTCTTCTTTGCAAGGGGCTCAACCTTCTGTATCCACCTCCAGGTCCCCTGAGGCTGTGGTACAGTGGAGAGTACCTGGGCTGGCCCTTGGGGAGCTGGTTTGAGTTCAGTCCTGCCTTGGTTGGGTCCCTGCAGCGGGCATCTGGCTCCTGTGCTGACGTGAAGTGCTGTCCCTGCCGGGCTGAGGCTGGGCCTTGCTGTCTGTCTGAGGACTGGCTCTCTGTGTGTGTAGTGGGTGGCAAGGGCCAGGCTCAAGTCTGACAATGTGCAGAGGAGCACAGCTGTGGCTTCTTGTCCCTTTGCCACCTTGCGCTGAGCAGACTGCAGGCACTGATGGGTCTGTGCTACAGCAGGCACCTGAGGCCTGGTGCGTCTCTTTGTGCCAACTGCCACGCCTGTGAAAGGCTTTGAGGCACAACTGTGGTTGGTCTACAACGGGTCTGGCCTCAAGCAGACTCCATGTGGCACCTGGTGCTGTCGTCTTCACCCTTGCTAGGGAGCTCTGACCACTGACCCCTTCCCCACACAGGGACTAGCTGGCCTGGCTATCTCACATTGTTTCGTTTTCAAAACTGCTTCCTGCATGAACCAGCACCACGGCATGCTCCCCCTGTGGCCTACATGTCTGTCCATCTGTGGGCCTTGCAGCTCTTCCACCTGGAGCATGGAGGGAGGTGGGTAGCAGATGTGTTAGTGACTGTCTCCTCTGGGGATAAACGATGACCTGGGAACTCAGGGGAAGGAGAATGCTGAGTCTGTGCTTCCTAGCCTAGAACAACTTGCCCTGAGGCTTAAAGAAGGTAGATAGCTTACCCAGGGCAACATGGTTGTGGCACCCTGGTTTAAACTCAGCTGTTTTATTCCCAAGCTGGGGCTCTTCCCCACAGCAACCCTGCTCTGTATGGTGCATGAAACAGGTGAGCTCAGGAAAAGTAACATGTGTGGCTTTGGAACCTCCGTGCAGCATCTGGACACCAGGGCAGCACCCTGAGCAGGGTGGTCGTGCAGGCAGCAGACCAGGGACCCACACAGCTGGTTGTGGTCATGGTGCAGCCCTGTGCCGTGGGATTGGGGCAAGTCACATCACTTCTTTGAGCAGCAGAGTCCAGTTGTATAAAATAGGAGTTGGACCAGATCGACTCAGTGATTTTTTTTCTTTAAAGATAATAAATATTTTAGGCTTTGCAAGCCCATAGTCTCTGTTACAACTGCTTTAACTCTACTGCTGTGGCACAAAAGCAGCTGTAGACAGTATGTAAACAAATGTAGGTGGCAGGCTGGATTTCACGCCTGGGCCGTGGTTTGCCAACCCCCCTGCTGAAGGATTTCGTGATGTTCTTCTGGCCTTTAGTGCTCCAGGATTTTGCAGCAGTGGCTGTCTGTGGTAGGCGCTAGAACCCAAGCTGTGGGCTCTTCCCTGATGCTGGTCAAGAAAGTAGCATCTGTCAATTTCTCACGTGGCCGCAGGCCATGAGGGAGCCAGAGGGGAATTTCGATCTTTGGTAACCAGTTCTGCTTTTTCTTTGCAGAATGCTGAGATGTATAAACTGTCTTCACAGCAATTCCACGAGGCAGCTTCAAAAATGGAGAGCACAATAAAGTAAGAATTTGATTATTCTTGGTAAACTTGGCCTATATTTGTAAAAATTCCCACCTGTGGTTTGAAACCTGCCACCACCTGCCTAATTTCAAATTTCTCTAATAACACAGATAGCCATCTGTTCCTCAGCTCTCTCCCCTGGATGTGCGGTGGTCATTGGTCATCAGTAATTGACCAATTTCGTGCTCAGTTCTTCTCTTACTCCTTAGGAAGTTGGAATGGGGCTAAGCCAGGCTTGCAGTGTTATTTCTAGGGCCTGGTGTCTTGTGACCTGGAGCTGTTCTCATTGTCTAGTTAGGCAAAGAACTGGGGAACAGGCCCCGAAAGGGGTCAAGACAGGAGCTACTGGCCCTTCCTCCCTTTGGGTGTGTGGAGGATATAGGGCTGTGTGTCCCCTCAGCCTCCTGTGTGCCTGGCAAATGCACTGTGCTTCCTGCACTCTCAGGGGAACTGAGGTGCAGAGCGCCACGGCTCACTCTGGTCATGCAGTGCGACTCCTCCACTCTCAGGGGAGCTGAGGTGCAGAGCGCCACGGCTCACTCGGGTCATGCAGTGCGACTCCTCCACTCTCAGGGGAACTGAGGTGCAGAGCGCCATGGCTCACTCTGGTCATGCAGTGCAACTCCTCCACTCTCAGGGGAACTGAGGTGCAGAGCGCCATGGCTCACTCGGGTCATGCAGTGCGACTCCTCCACTCTCAGGGGAACTGAGGTGCAGAGCACCACGGCTCACTCTGGTCATGCAGTGCAACTCCTCCACTCTCAGGGGAACTGAGGTGCAGAGCGCCACGGCTCACTCGGGTCATGCACTGTGCTTCCTCCACTCTCAGGGGAACTGAGGTGCAGA